CTGGGTCGTGTCTCTCGAGGAAGGTTAACCGGATTATTATGCACGTTTATTCAACCACACAAAAGAAAATAAAGTTCCTAAACATTCCAATTCAGGTGATTTGATTTGGATTTAATTATCAACTACCAAGAGAATTTAAATTAAGCAATTGAAATAGCAAGCAACAACGAAGAACAATCAGGATTTAAGAAGCTAGGGAGTCGGGGATATCCGTTTTGGTTCGAAAATGCAATTATCAAGCAAGAGATTGTTCGGTTAAGTGATTTGACTAATCGACACGTTCAAGCACTCATTCTCAATAACTTTTCGTAACAAGAGAACAAACTGGAACGGCAAATTAACAATTCATTTAACTTCTAGACAATACAGTTACGAACAAGCCTAGTTCATACGAGCCTATTTCGACCGACTCCTCCCCTTTCGGTTCTAAGAGTCGATTAAAGTAGACTAGAAGGTGTTTAATCCACTAGTCCGTTTAGAATAACCAACATCAAGCAAGAATATATCAAACTCAATTGCAAACAATTGGGGATTGAAGTGTCACGCTTCAACAATTCTAAATACTCGAGCCCGACAATTGAAAAACCCTAGAAAAAGATCAACTCGTATGAAATTGAACAATCCTGAGCCCGACAATCATAAACGGTATCAAAACATCAATCCCCTATCCCTAGCATATTAATTTAGCTACTCATGATCGATTCAACACAAACAATCTCACAAATCAAGACAAACATATTCATGGATTAGAAGAATATAGAATCATACAATTAAACCGAAATTGAGAGTTGAATCTGATAAACAAGATTAATCCAAAAGCAGTAGCAAAATTCGAGTGCAAATCCGTGTTCAACGATGAAAAATATGAAGAGAACGATGAAAAACAAGGGAAAAGAACGAGAGATAGGGTTTTTGTTTGTTCGTCAGTGAGAGATCCCCCTTTTCTGTCGATGTCCCGGTCTTATTTATATACGGCGCGGGAGGTCCTTCACGGCGCGATGGCCTGAAGCTCCGCGGCGCGGGAGATCCTTCACGGCGCGGCGGGTGAAAATCTAGTTTGTTGGTCTCAGTCGAGGTCGTGGAAGCTTCGCGGTGCGGGGAGTGGCCTTGTGATGAAGATCGCGTGTCTCGATTGTCGATAAGCCACAAACCAGTGCCTTGAATTGCCGATAGGTGTCTCGAGGTTTGCACAACCGCACCCCTTGAAACGATAAAATTGCAAAAGAAATCAAAAAGATATCTAAGGCAAAGTGTTTGAACAAAAGTTCGGTTTTTCTATTAATTTCTGAATTATAATTTCGAATGACAATGGGGCATATTTATAGATGCCAAACTAAGTCTATTCCTAATCTAAAAAAGAACTCCTAATGCTTGGAAATAAATAAAGTCCTAAGGAACTAAATCACTAATTAAAGCAATAAAATATTAAAGTCCTAAACAATCTAGAAATCATAATGGAATAAGGAAACCAAATAACTAATGGATCCTAAAGAGCCTTGACTTGCACTCCAAGTAGGGAAGAATAATCTAGAGAAGTTCCAACTCAAAAGACTCCTAGACGCCTCAGTTTCTTGCTGGCCAGCTGCACCCGTTGGGCACCCGACTCGCGCGCCTTCCATTTCTTCGAGCCACCTGGTGCTTTAGCCATCCCCACCAGGTTTCACTCCTTCGATAAGCATCCCGAAACCTCCGATGGTACGTCCGTTTGAGGCGTGGTCTCATCCATGCATGTCTACGCCAATGTGCGTATCTGCGCCCTTGTCGTCGGATCACCTCGCGCACCCGCTCGTGTTGATGGATGCGCATCTTCACGTGTACCCTCGCGCGCCTTGCTACGCGGCTCACGCGTATCGCGTGTCTACGCATTGCGCGTTTTCCTCGCGCGCGCCCATCACGAACCTCCTTTGCACAGCCCTGATGGTTCGACTCGTGCCGTTCTTTTTGTATTCGTGCGCCTCGTATACGGGCTCGTACCCGTCTCTTAGGCCATGCATACGTGAATTTGGCCCTTTCCTCGACTTTCTCGGGTCGTCTCGGCCATCGGCTCTCGGCGTCCTCGGGCCTCGAAACCCACATTCGCATCATTCCCGCCCCCTTAAAGTTTGTCCTTGTCCTCAAGGACTCATCAAGTATCTCCCTTCGGGGCTCGTCGTCCTCCTCGATCACATCAACCTCTTCTTTCGTTTTCTCGACTCTATTGATCCCGGCTATCTTGGCCACGTCCGAAACCTCCTCGAGCCTTAGAGCTTCGACCACCTTGGCTTCTTCAACCTCGACCTCGACGAAGTATTCATCGGGGTATTCATCGTAGATAGGCGGTCCATCAAAACCCGTCGCGGCTTGTTCGTCTGTAACTTCTAGGTGGTCCGAAAAATCGAACGGATAGTCGAGCTCCTCGCACCGTTCCTCAATCACTTGATCCTCCCCGACTACTCTCCTAAACATCGATGTCTCGAGCATGTTGGATTTTATCGGATCGTGTTCGTAAGATTCACGGGACTTCTCTTCGGCCTCTTTCCACAACTCCTCGACCATGAAGATCTGGCCGTCTCCATGCCAATCTTGCTCAATACTCTTGAGACCAACCTCCTTGGTCCCATAGTCCTTGCTTGCCTTTAATGTGACCTGGTGTTCTCCTGCGTCGAACTTCATGACCCCTGTTCGGTAGTTGGTGGTTACCTCACCTAGCCCCTCGAGCCATTGCACTCCTAGCACAACGTCGGGTCCAACCAAGGGTAGCGCATAGAGATCGGCTTTGATGGTGACTCCTTGAAATTTGATCGGCACTCCGTGATAAGACTCGGTGCATCTTAGTCGTTCGCCATTGGCTACTCGAACCTCGAATGGCTCTTCCTTCGTCGTTGGCAACTTCAACTTTTGAGAAAGCGTGGCGTTGATGAAGTTGTGTGACGATCCGTTGTCTACTAGCACGACTACACGGCGGTCCTTGACACATGCTGGTAGCCGCATCGTCCTCGGTCCTTGGGTGCCTGCCATTGCGTGCATTGAGATCTCAGCTTTCTCCTCGAGTACCTCAGCCTCGACCCTTCTCTCTAGGTGCTCCTCAATCTCGGACTCTTCCTCATCTGAGTCGATAACGTCGATCACAAAAACCTGCTTGCATCGATGGCCCGGTATGAACTTCTCTTCACATTTGAAACAGAGCCCCTTCTCACGTTGGCGCCTCATCTCCTCGAGCGACAACCTCTTGACCTCCGGGACTGGTGGTCGAGAGCTATCGGGCGGTCGGCCGCTCGGAATCAAATTGCTCGCATTCGGTTGTGCGCCTACGTTAGTGTTGCTTGGGCCCGTGCGTCGCGTGTCGGGGTAGCGAGTGTCCGCCCATCCCCTTCGCGTGGCCGCTAGATGGTCCTCGCGGCGTCGGGCTACCTCCATAGCCGCATGCATGGTCTCGGGCCGCTCTAATCGCACCTCAGCGGCTAGGTCGTACTTCAGGCCGCCTATGAATGCGCCAACTAGTGCGGTCTCGGGCCAGCCTCGCACGCGACATGCTAATTGCTCGAATTCCTTCAAATAATCTCGCAAGCTGTCTGTCTGCCTTATTCGAGTTAGCGCCTCGTCATAGTTGTGGTAGTCGGACATTCCGAATCGCGTAAGTAATTCGCGTTCGAAGTCGTTCCACCCTATGGCTCGCTGTCGGTTGCGGTAGACGCTTGTGAGCCATTGCCACCATACGTTGGCTTCACCATCAAGATAATAAGCCGCATATCGCACACGATCATTGGCCTCGGTCTCGTTGAGCTCAAACTATTGCACGGCCCGGTTGAGCCATGCCTCGGGATCGGTGCCGGTGAAGGTGGACAGCGTAAGCCTTGGCTTGTCGGGCTTCGGGCGGTCGTGCACGTTAGACGCTTGTGACCGCTGATCGAAATCCTTCTCGCTCTCGCGCTCATCGGGTCGATGCTCCTCCTCTTCGGGTCGATCGCGCCTTGGCTGTCGTGGAGGTGACCGCGCGTATCGTTGGAAGCCGCGCGCCATCTCCTCGAACCCCCGGTTCACGGTTTCCATCAAATCCCAAACCGATGCTTTGGTCGCGTCGAGCCCCTCACCGAAAGTATGCATGACTTCGCTCATACTTTGAACTTGAGCATCTAGGTTGTCGATCTTGTCCTTCATCTCCTTGTTGGCCATGGCTTTCTTTTCTTGCTTTCGTTCTTTACTTCGAGGACTCGTTTTGAAGAGATTTTTTTATTTTTTTTTCTAATACGTGAATTCCTTACAAAAGGAAAGCAAGACTCCTAACCAATATATCAAATCCTTACGCCAAAAATACTCCAACAATTAGTACAACTCACGCAAATAAATCAATTCCATATCCCTCATGTACTTAATATACCCAAAGAAAAAAAGGTCAACAATCCTAATCCCCAATGCCCACGGCACTCTTAAGAACAATTTTTTTTTTTTCAATCCTCACGGAAAACACATTAACAACTCTCTCTCCCTTTTTTTTTTATTTTTTTTGTTTTGATAACTAAAACTCACGCAACCCCCACAAATATATATGTATATATAGAGATGCGCTCAAATGAGAATGGACCATAATGAGAGAAATAAGAATTAATACGGACCGATCGATCCAATATTTGAACGAACCAGATGCGCTCACGCATCTTAATTACCTGCCCACTTACCGGTGGCATTCTCGTAATAAGGGTTAAAGGATGTGGTTAATAGTGCAGCTGTGAGGGTACTCCCGTCTTTCCACAAAAAGCAATGGGCAATTGACGTTTTCGAGCACATTCATTGAGGCAGTAAATACGGCTCGTCTCCGCGAGCTCCAGAGATAACGTATGGAGATGGTGGAATTATGGTAAGAAAAAATTCTTAAAAAAAAAATAAAAATCTAGCATTCTTGTAGATGATGACGGGCATCTTGTAATATCTATGTATTTCTCGCAGATCTATTGTTGATATGTTGAAGAGAGTTTAGATCTGAAGCTGTTCACCGTACTGTGTTAATCGAACGTATTTTAACAATGGGTAACTCTCCCAAATTGGAGAAATCAGGTAATTTTTGTGCTCATTGTGTTTATGTTGTGTCGCATTTTTAAGTTTTCGTTGTGTTTATGGTGTGTCGTATTTTTTACATTTAGGGCTATAATGATTTCGCCCCTTTTTTTGTATGAACTTCAGAAATCATGCGAAGCATGTATTTTCTACTGTCTTATTGTAATTTAAAATGCGATATGACGTTTGTGTATAGTATTTTAGTTTCTGGTTTTGTGGGGTTTATCTCGTATTCCTGGTTTTTTGGTGGCATTTTCTTGTTTTATATACGTCTGTAATTATGAAATATATTTCGCATGTTTGCATTGATATTGTTGTTCTATTGTTTATCCAAAAGAGTATGCATAAATTACTCACAATTTCACAGAACTGTTAGTACATTAGACGTATTTTCACACTATTGATAGAATAGTTGTCTATATGTCTTCAACCTATTGTTAGATTACCATAAACTGAAATGACCCGATTTATAATAAATTATTTTTTATGTCGTGTAGATTAAACTTCAGTTGTACACACCAACTTGTTTTTAATTGTCAAAAATCTAACCTGTTATTTTTGTATGATTTGATTTCCTCAATGCAGGTAAACGTGGTGCGGATGCAAGCAGTTCGGATATACCGCTTGTTGCTTGGAAAGGTATGTGTCGTTATGTTATGTCGGTATGACAATACTTTCAATGATATTCAGTTTGCATGTAACGGTGTTCGTGCTTCTAATGACTGATGCTATTTGCTAGCAACACGGCGTCGTACGAGCTCCCCTTTAACGCAACCCATTAATACACACGTTGGCGCTGATGGTGTTCAAGAAGGTTAACACTTGCACATTATATATTGTCGTACGTGTCGGTACATGTGTTGTGTGTAATCATTGATATCATAATAGAGTTATTGGATTTGTTAATGTGTGCAACGTATTCTATACATGGCTATAGTAGACATTCATCACGAGTATTTCTTTATTCTATACCTGTTGAACTTTGACAGTAACGTTGTTGTATATTTGTTGTTACGTTCCAAGATTTTCTTTTACTTTTTCATCTCTATTTGTGGGTGTTAACTAATTGCTTATTATACAGATGCATCTCGTACGATGCCAGTGAATACGACAGAACCAGATTGTGTCCGTGTGAATCGTGCAAAAGCGTGTGCACATACATCAAGCCAGCCTAACAGTGACGACTTAGTGGATGATGGTCATCGTTTGCGTGTGGCTGAAAATGCCCATACATGTGACAGTATATACAACCATGCGCTGCTGTATTCCCAAAACAATCATTTTCATGCTCAGAGATGTGTAAAAAAATTAAACAAATAATATTATATAATGGTATAAAGTGCAGTAATTTAAGTTGCATTCTATGTTTATAGGCCTGTAATTATAACAACATTTAAGATGATTTTGGAATATTTCTGCTTATTTTGTGTGCAAAATGTGCAACTAACGTCCTGTTTATACGAATATATCTTTATGAATTTCTTTTTTTTTTCCTAACATTTTTTCTTTTTACAGTTAAGGGCAAGAAAGTAATGGCTGATAGCAATAAAACTGATGGCGATGATGTGGATGTTGTTCTTCTTGGAGATGGTACGGGCAGCGAGGATGACGATCAATTCCCGAGTCTGATTACGAGATCGTCATCTGCTATATTCGTGAAGGCGATTTCTGGTTTGTCAGATGCTCAGAGGCACGCTGTTCGTGATATGGGTCTCGAACCTTTGTTAGATTTGACCATAACAGCCACACCATTGAAGATGGGTTTATGGCTGGTGAACAATTTCAATCACCTGGATCGAAAGTTGCGTTTATATGATGGTGAAAAGGTGCACATTAAGGAAGAAGACGTGCATGCTGCATTAGGCTTGCCCCGTGGAGAGATTGAAATTAGGAACAAGAAGAAGAGAGCTACATCGGACCTGCTTGATGAATGGGTTAGTCTGTTCAATGTGAGAATACCGTCTAATATTACGGCGTCAAAGGTGTTGGATAAGATGCGTGAGTGCGAAGATGGCGGTGACTGGTTCAAGCGACATTTTCTCGTGCTTATGGTCACTTGTCTGTTCGAGAGTTCTTCAAACGGGATGGCAAACTTCCGTTTAGTCCATATGCTCGACGACCTAACCAAAGTATGCAAGATGAACTGGTGTTCATATATGATCCGATGCCTTGTGGACACTAAGAGATCGTGGGATGCTAGCGGCAAACAAAAGAAGTATACCGGTCCATTGTTATTTATGACGGTCAGTTGTTCCTAAGTCTTCCATTAATATCATTATTATTATTTATTTATTAATATATATGTATATATATTCCATTATTATCTTTTGGCTCATCTAATTGACTACGTATTTATTTTGATTGTTTGACGCAGCTGTTCTATGTGGACAATGTCGTCCTGTCGATGAGATCTATTGCAAGGTCGTTCCCCCTGTTTGTGTCATGGACGAACGAGACATTAAAAGCTAGGGAACAGGACGAGATTGAAGCTGGAGGTTTTGGGAGGGGATTTGTTGAGGCTGACAGGCACGTGGTCGTTGACCGTCACAAATCGGACAGAGATGATGCCACAGCCAACAATAACGAGATCAAGAGCACAATGGAACCCAGTGTGCAGGCACGTGATATATCTGATGTTATGTTACTGTTTGTTATTTGATCATTCCCCTTACTGTTTTCTTATAAAATATATGTTAACTTAATTTTTATTTTTACTTCTTACTTTTGTTTTTTTTTTATCTGTTACCTTTCTTGCTCTTCCTCTTCTTCTTTTTTTTTCTGTTTTTTTTGTTATTTTTGTTTTTTTTTTTGTTTTTTGTTTTTTTTTGTTTTTTTGTCGCTGATATATATTGTGCTTCATTCTATGTATAATTGTGCACCAAGTTGAGTTAAAATGTGCTTGATTATATAGTGTTGCTATATGGTGTTTTATGTATACGCATGGTGATTAAAAGTGCGTTGATTTGTTGTTTTTGTTCTATTAACAGGCTTATGTTCAGGAATTCGCATCAAAAACACGTCTTCTTGCTACAATCGGAGATGAAATTTTGCAACTGGTTAATAAGGCACCACAAGTTCTAGTCGGTGACAAGAATTTTATGAAAATACGAGGCGCGGCGCAAAAGCTGTTAGGTGTGTATTCCGGAGTTCCTAAAGCAAATTCTGACCGTCACGATCTAGGTCAACATAATCATACCGTCCCCACGAGTGATATGGATACGGACAATGCAAATGGTGCTACCTATCAGTTACTAGACGATGCATTCTGGAATGATCCTGAAACATTGGCGGCGATAGACTCGATTTTGAAGGCGGTCGAGCGACGTGATCATTTCAAGAGGATGCAGCTTGACGTTCCCAGATTCAACTTAGGCATCTCGTCAGATGACGATGATGTAGGTGACACCCATCATCAACATACGAGCGGGATTGGCGTGGGTTCTGTACATAATGGGATGCCTCAAACTGCTGATAAGTCACTCAATATAGACGTGCAAAAAGGTATTTGATAAAATTATTGTTGAGACGTCACCCAATATAGCGTTTTTTGGCTAAGCAGTTTTTTTTGTGTTATATTAATATGTTTTTTTATCATTGTTTATGAAGATGTTGGTCAGTCTGAGCATGCAGTTGGTGAAGAAATTGGGTTGCACGACAAAGGACATGTAACTACCGATATGTACGTAACGCTCAAATATATTTAATGTATTAAAAATTTGTTCTATGCCATTTTTTTTTTGCTTATGTATATATATATATATTCCTTTTTTTTCTTCAGAAACTGCTTGTGAAGTATCTCGTGGTAATGATGTAAACGTGTCTCCGAGGCCAAAGAGGCGTATCAAGGCGGCCAGTATAATTAAATCACCTTTTAAGCAGAGGACGATTGATGTGACGAAAAAGTTGGACGGGACCGAGAAGATGGTTGTTAATTGGATGCTGAAGAATGATGCTTCTGACGAGTATGAATGGTTCAGTCTTTAATATAATTGGTTATATTTGTGCATTAAGATGGTTTAATATTTTATTGATTCACATTCCTGGGAAATGGGCAGGGGGGTGATTGCGTTTCAGTCAACTGAACCAATCGAACTATATGTGAAGAAGTCAGTTGTGGTATGTCTGACTCCCGACACTCCAATTACTAAGGAATTACTTGACTTATGGTCTTTCATACTAAACTACAACGAGAACCTTAGAAGTCGTGGTGCACCAAAATGTTTTTTTGCATCAACTTCCCCGTGCAACGAGGTATGACACAATATATTATGTGAATTATCTAATATTGTAAGTGGTATGAATATTATATGTTTAAGTAGATCTTATACTGTTTGATGTTATCGTGGCTTGCAGTTTTTCTTTGATGGAAAACGGAAAAAAGAAACAAGCTATAAAAAGTTTGCTCAGACACTAGACTCTGAAATTACACAGATGTCCATTTACGCATTGAATGAAATACAAGTGGTATGTTATATTTTCCCGAATCATCCTGTTTCTTTCTTTAATACTAACTGTATACATGAGTTGCCTTACATTCAATTGCCCATTTTGTTTATTTGTTGGATTTTTTGGGTGTCGTAATTCTGTAACGTTATATGTAAAATTTACATATAATTGTCTTATATAATATACACATGTGTTACAATAAAGGTTATGTTTATGTAGTGTGATGATTAATGTCCGCCATGTTTATCGTTACTGCAGTTTCTATTTCCGGTGCACTCCGAGACATTTCATGGCTTAATATGCGTTGTCCCGGGATCCCAAAAGCTGATACTCATAGACAGTTCCGGATCTCGCAAAGACGGAGCTCTTATGAGATCGATTGTGCCACGATCTGAGTTGTTGGTAATTAGTTATAAATATAACAATGTTTTATATAATTTTATGTGTTGGATATAAATTGTTTGATAACTAATATCACATTTATTGCAGCAACGGTCGATGTCAAAGTTTCTAGGTGAAAGGAATTTGGCAAAATTCTCCATATCAGTCGGGCTGGCTGTTCCTGATGTATTCGACACAGCGTGGACTGAGGACGTCGACAAGGCAGACATTGGAGTGATCACAATGCGTCACATGGAGACGTTCAAGGGTGGCATCTCGAAAACTTGGAATCCGGGACTGAAAAGGGCAGACAAGGGCCAGATCAAACTTATCAGGAAGCGCTACACGTGCGTTATAGCATTTGCATCGAACAACAAGTTGAAGGACAACAATCTTGAAGAAGCACATAAGTTTCACCCGGTTCACCTTGCAAACAAAAACAAAGCAGCCACATGATGCACAGTGGTAGATGGGAATTGCTTGTTTGTCCGAACGTCAATGAGTAGATGGTTTAGTATTACGTAGGGCTAATCAAACGCATTCGGGTTATTATGTTTTGTGGTGGTTTTATTATGACTGGTTGGTGTCTTTTGATGAACTCGATCGCGACGTAGGTGATGACGCATGTTTTTTGTGAATGTTTTGTGTTTTGGATGTCAGGCTAATGCACGACGAAACTTTTGAATATTCAATCATTTATGCGGTATGAACATTTTTTTTTTTTTGTTTTGTTGGTACAAATGCCGTATGAATCTCAGTTCCTCATATCGATGTCGTCCGTACATGTTATGATGTGCATTTTCTATATATCTACAGTGCAACCTTTGTAGCATTATTGTGCACATGAGCTATTATTTTGTCAGTCAGTCGTTTTCTTTGTTTCATTATATCTATTAATGTAATTATATATCAATGTTGTAGTTATTTAGACGAGACTATGGTGCATAATGTCAAGACATATTGTGCATGATATAACACACTATTGTGCAACATTATGTATAATGTTGTGCACCCATTATTCAATGTGTAAATGTTATGCGAATCTTACATATTTGTCATTCCATTAGTTCACCTTACTTTATGAACTAGTGGAATACATAATATATATTGTCACCGTTTAACTATTTCAATGTTAATTATTTAACCGTATGTGTGCATGGTGACTATGGTTAATGTGCAAATGTGTTAACATTATTGTGCGCATATATCTTGATAATGTGCATGCGAACCTGTGTGTGAATTAGATATGAAACGTTTTTATTGTAATTCTAAAACTTAATAACACACACACATTCCATTTGAACATTGTGCACCACGTGTTGATATACAAAGAAACAAAAATATATATATATATATATAAATAAAAAAAAAACCCAACATACATCGCATAATAACATCGTCGGTTTGAAATTGGTTTAATGAAAATATTAGTGTATCTGCACTACATGAATATGAATAATGTAATGATCACGAAAGTATCTCAAATACATAAAGCATTGTAGCTGAAGGTAACTGACATCCTCGCAATTGCATTCTGAAGTAGTAAATTATTCGAGCATATTTGGCGTTTTGATGGTGCCTGCACATGTAAAGTTGTAATTATCAAACATCAACAGTAAGTATATAGGTATAAATCGTGTTTGTGTGCAAATAACTCATATAAACCACACGATTACATTACACAATATTAATTTAATAAACCTGATTGCATCAAAATAATTCCAACAGTCTTGGTGTATTACACCCCATCCTACAATGGCTGTTGTATTTAAAGTGGGAAAAAAATATATATGTATATATAATAATAATAATAAACGAATAAATAAACCATAGGCGTAAAGACAAGAGTTTGTACATACCTATGAATGTTGGTCAGGTGGTGTATCTATTGCCTTTTTCGGGCAGGTTCGCGTATTGTGTCCTACTCTCTCACCACATGTCTTGCATAGCCTCCTTTTTTTCTGTGACATTTCGATCGACTTTTCCTTGGCACTCTTCATTCTTTTTCCGCTCCCTTTGTTTTTTGATTGTGCTGGAGGTTGGATGTGTATGTCTTGTGGGGCGGACATCCCAACAAAAGATTCGAACCTCTTTTCCCTTTCAGACATAGCTGACACACCACCCTCTTGTTCAGCCATGAGCTTTCGCTTGTGCTCCCCAATGAGTTTAGAGAACTCAACCAGTTGGTCCATGCGCGTCTCAGCCAATCCCATGCAAATGTGTAGGTCTGACCAAAGCTTATTCATCAAAATCTTTTTATCATCTATTTTGGCGCATTGTTCTGAGATGTTTTCAGGAACTTGGAACATAGGTTTGCTAATCCCAAGTTTTGTCCACCTCGACATGACATGAGAAGGTGGTATAACCTCCATGTTTATGTCTTTGTACACAACAAAAACATACCTACATAGCCACCCGTGCATTTCAAAGTGTTTGCACGAGCAGTGAGTTGTTTTTAGGCTGACATCGTGTACTACCGTAAACGACTTCCCGTCAACATCTTTTATCACGAACGTCATCTCACCATCAGCTTCAGAACGTTGCATGACCTGGCATCTGAAACACGCGTCACAGATTTCATTTTGCACACGATAGAATATCGTGGTGGTGTACACAGACAGAGCATGTTTTTCAACCGGCAATTGGGTTTTCAGGCCAGCCACGTGAGTTTCAATGTTACTTTGTAATTTCATTGACGTGTTTCGTTGTGCGTCCATCGCACTATCATAATGCAACAAAAACTCGACTAAGCTGGACTGGTTACTTGTAAAATTGCTAAACCAATTGTTCTCGCTTTCCGATCGAGAAGTAGTTCTCATAAGCCCACTCATACTGACATCTCTAAAATATGCCGGTATCCAATACTCTCTCTAGGCAAACAAATCATTGAACCAATTATGGGTATCTAAGCTATATTCGTTCATAATAGCAGCCCATTCAGTTTCAAACTCGGCCGGTTCAATTTTTCTATTCCAAACAATTTCATTAAACTTCCTCTTGAAGTTGATGTCGCTATTTAAAGCATGTCCAACTTTGTCACATAACTTATTCATGATATGCCACATGCAAAAGCGGTGCTTGCTACTAGTGAATACCTTGGAAAAAGCAATTCCAATCGATGGGTCTTGGTCGGTGACTATGTAGTTAGGCTCGTGCATCATTGCATTCTTGAAGTTTTCTAACACCCATACGTAAGAATTGACGTCCTCCTTAGCTATCAAGGCGGCTGCGAACGTTACACACTTTCCGTGGTTGTCTATGCCGGTAAATGGTGCAAACACCATATTGTATCTACAAACAACAATAGTATGTTGTATCAGTGCACATACTCGTTACATACTGTGCAAAAAATTATCATATATTATGCTGTATTAATTACATTGTTGTGCAAGAACTGCTAAATATAAAATTGATATGCATGATTAATGTACCTGTTGGTGCGATATGTGGCATCAAATGATACAACATTCCCGAAAGATCCATAGTTACGTCTTGATATTGTATCAGCCCAAAAAAGCCTATGTAGGCAGTCATGTTCGTCGAGCTCATAGCGAAAATAAAAGGCAGAGCTAGTCTCCTTTATAAAATTTCTCAATAACCAACTGAGCATCAGCACCTAAAATGTAGCCCATGAGCTCTCGTTTGAAGTTCCTGAACTCCACATTGGTGGCACCGATATTAGAATATCCTCCTACAATCTCTTTGTACAACTTGTACGACTTGATAGGGCCTATGTTGGCCTTTATACAGTTGAGGACAAATGTTTGATGTGCAGCCGTCATTTTCCGATTGATCTTTAGTCGCGCTCTACACTCGTCGGGCATCATCGGATGGTTGTGCTTTTCTTCAAAAAATCGAACAATATAGTTGTTTGGTCCGTTAACTCGAAGGACAATCCGGGCGTTACACCCCACTCGGTTGGATACCCTGCGTCTTCGTGAGTGCATTGCTTGGATTGTGTCTACGTGATGCTTGTGGCCCTCTCTCGAACATACTAGGTATTTCCAAACAACCGTCTTATCAATCGCTTTAATCAAGGTGTTGTGCCTAACATCAAACCCAACCGTAGAAGCATACGCGTTGTAGAAAATGACTGCCTCGTGAAGCCCGTGAAAAATCTGTCCTTTGAAGGGCCTAAGTGCATCCTCACATTGTGGTATCTAATATTTAGTGCCGTCTGGCGTGATGAGTAGTTGGCGGGTACGAGGTGATGATAGTTGTGCTGAATCTGTTGCAATTACGACCCCCAAATAAATAAATAAATAAATAAAAAACAAAGGAAAACAAAATTTCGAATAAGATGCACAAGTACATGCACTCCCATGCACATTTATATGTTGTTCCATGCACAATTACGTACGAGGACATGCACTATATGATATACATGCTATGCTCATCAAACTTGTACAAAACAGGGTATATGAATGTTCAGGGAGATTACACATCAACATGAATTACAGGTGAATACCAAAGTAAGCTCGTCAATTGTCCCATAATCAATCGACAATAACATATTTACAATACCTTCTTGCGTTTCGCTCGGCTCCACAGGGGCTTCCATGAATAAGAAGTATTGTGCAAAAAACCTAAATCAAACAGAAGATCGTTAGTTTCCCTCTTTATGAATCGCAACATCAGGTTACTCGTATGTTCGATTGCGATAGAAAAAAAAAATGAAAAAAATGCAGCAATGAAGAACCAATAACCTGATTTCAGATCGATTGGATTCTATATGTGATGGATTTTACTGAGCTGACTTGTGATTAATCACTATGTCGATGTGCGAACGCTCGGGAGCTCAATGTCGATTTTTCACCTAAGAACCCTAAGCTCGAATTTAATGTAGATGCGGCGATCGCGGGTTTCACCAGCAGAGGACACGCTATTGTGCGGGGTAAAATTACAGTCCTGCCCTTTTTAGTAATGGGCGTGAGCGTGGCTGCGCGTTGATTGGGACCGTATGATGGCATTGATCCTGTGGTCAATATTTATTCCTATTTCTTTCGTTGACACTTATTCTCACCGGAGCGCGCCCCTATATATATATATAACTTTTTTTTTTGATATAAACGTAAATAAAATAAATAAAAAAAGAATGGGGAAACAAAGAAAACACACGATCTAACACCTCTCAATGAAAGCACCAATGATGAAGATCGCGTGTCCCGATTGTCGATAAGCCACAAACCAGTGCCTTGAATCGCCGATAGGTGTCTCGAGGTTTGCACAACCGCACCCCTTGAAACGATAAAATTGCAAAAGAAATCGAAAAGATATCTAAGGCATAGTGTTTAAACAAAAGTTCGATTTTTCTATTAATTTCTGAATTATAATTTCGAATGACAATGGGGCATATTTATAGATGTCAAACTAAGTCTATTCCTAATCTAAAAAGAACTCCTAATGCTTGGAAATAAATAAAGTCCTAGGGAACTAAATCACTAATTAAAGCAATAAAATATTAAAGTCCTAAACAATCTAGAAATCATAATGGAATAAGGAAACCAAATAACTAAGGGATCCTGAAGAGCCTTGACTTGCACTCCAAGTAGGAAAGAATAATCTAGAGAAGTTCCAACTCAAAAGACTCCTAGAAGCCTCGGTTTCTTGCTGGCCGAGTTGTCCCCGCGCGCTGCCTCTGGCAGGCCTGCGCCCGCGCGCGCGTGCTGCCCAGTGCCCGTGCTGGCGCTGCTTCCCTGCGCCCGCGCGC